GCAGAGACTTGCTAGGCAGTCGAGAAGACCGCTTAGGCTGAAGCGGCCGCACCTGCTCTCTCAGGAACGGCTTACCGGCGTCGTCGTCACCACACAACGACCAAGACGCCAGCTCCAACGCCGCGCGGGTGGCGGCTCCTCGCGCGCCCTTGGCCGCGGGCGCTTTATCCGCGGCTCGCGGAGAGACACCGGCCTAGCGCCCCAGCGCGGGAGCGACGCCGACGCCGAAGCCAAGCGGGCCCGCCCTCTCGCGATATCTAGGGCGGGGGCGGGGGCGGGAGCGGGGCGAGAACAAAGCCAACCTCCTCGCTCCGCCTCCTCCGGTCCGCTCGCTCTGCTCGCCCCTCCCCCGCGCGGCGCCGGGGGCCCAGTAGCAGTTTCCGAGAATCTTCGGAGAGATTCCCGGCCTTCTTCAATACAGATTCACTCCCATCACTTTCTGAGGCCGTTTTGTTATTCTTGCTTTATAGATCAACAAACTGAAACTCTGAGGTGACGTCACTCCGCAAAGATTTAGCTGACTTTCAGAGCTATGACGTCTCCTCTTTCCACTGAACCCGCACAAAAAGCTTAACTGCATATTATAAAATCATGGACTATCACTCAGCATCGGAGAGGTCCTTAGAAACCTATTATAAAGTCATAGAATATTGACCTTTACGGAATCGTAGAATGTCTCTGCATGGGGATAGTCTAACCTCTTTTTACCATTGGAGAAGCTGATGGATAGAAGGAAAGTGACTGCCATTGTCACACAGCCCATCCACTGCGTGTTGAAAACAGGGAGAAGCCAGGTGACCTTGGAAGGTTGGATTGTTGCAGCTACAAGCCAAGGAACACTTGAGCTACCAGATGTAGGGGAGAGACATGGAATAGAGTCCACCCCACAGCTCTCAGAAGGAATCAGCTCTGCTGTGCTTTGACGGTGAACTTGAAGCCTCCAGAACCGAGACAGTACATTTCTTTTGTTGAAAATTACCTGACTTGTGGCTCTTTGTTATGGCTGCCCTATGCATCCTCCTCCCCACCCTCTCCTACCTCCTGTCTGCAGCTTGCTTGTTGCCATGCTTTTTTCCTGAGCAGGCCTCTTCATTATCCTCATGACAGAGCAGAGCAGACTGAGCCACCTAGAACTGCCACCTGCAGTTGACCTGCCCTGTGCATTTACATACTCTTAGGTCTGGAGAAAAGTTGTCAAGCAGTCCCAAGAGGGGGTTTCCAGTTTCTTTCTATAACAATCTCAGTGACCAGCAGCTCCCGATACCCCAGCACAACTCATTTTATCTTTGGACAGCTCTGACTCAAAGTTCTTCCTTAGATTGAGCTGACATCTGGTTCCCAGTAACCTCTGTCCCCATGTAGGCATGAGAGAAAGGGTTCTACCTTGTCTTATCCCTATGGCAGCAATCTCACACAAGTCTCTTATGTCTGCGCCCCAAGTCTCATCTCCCTTAACACAGGCTCTGTGCCTGGAGTACAACATTCAATTCTGTGTCCTTGGAACTCTGCTTCTCAGGGTTCCTGAAAATGATTCCATTTCTATTGTCTGGCCCCAGCTCCTAACCGAGTTCCTGGCAGGCCACAGGGCCTCACTAAGGGAATGAATGCCGAATGGAGATAATGGAGGGGAAGTGAGCTGGAAGGGAAGAAGGGAAACAGCTTTGCTTGTCATAGAGCTGAATGTGATCCCCAGGGATTTTCCCCAGCCAGGGGCCTCTACAGCCACCCTTGGCACTGGCCCCACCTCTGTTCCCAGCCAAGTCTCCACCAGCGCCCACTCTCCCTCCCAGGCCAGGAGTGCCCAGTGGTTCTGACATCACACCCTGACAGATCTGTCCAGCCCATGGGGAAGAGGGAAGGTTTTCAGTGAGTGGAAGCAGGATGGTCACCTCCCTTCCCTTCCTGATTCCTTCCACCCCAGTTTTCAACACCTGTGCTGCCTCTCCTGCCCTGTAAGCAGGAGTCCAGGTCAGCAGTGGTAATTCTATTGCCAAACTTCCCTGTATGTTCTAAATTATTGGGTAGATTTGCTTTGTTCCCATGTGAACTGGGCAGTCATCACCCTAAACCTAACTGTGGCTGGATTCTTAATTAAGCATTGCCTTACTTAATGAAAAGGGCTACTACAGTGTGACAAACGTGCTTTATTACAATAAACTAAGAAACATTGGAATAGGAGGTGATGAAGGGTTCTCTGAAGAACCTTGAAAAAATATTCCCCTCATCAAAAGTTAAGCTTTTGCCTTTGTACTATTACTTCTTCTATTTTTTTTTTTTTTGAGTTGGAGTCTCACTCCGTCACCCAGGCTGGAGTGCAATGGCATGCTCACAGCCACCCCAGTGTTGACCTGCTGGGCTCCAGAGATCCTTCGCCTCAGCCTTCTAAGTAACCGGAACAACAGGTGCACGCTACCACGCCTGATTAATTTTTTTTTTCATTTATCGTAGAGACGAGGCCTTGCCATGTTGTCCAGGCTGGTCTTGAGCCCGTGGGTCCAGACAATCCTCTCGCCTCGGCCTCCCAAAGTGCTGGAATTACAGGTTTGAGCCATAGTACCCAACCTGTACTATTACTTCTACTCCCAACCCTTCTAAAAGTGAATGCAGAAGACTTCCTCAACACTTAAAAAAATGAAATAGTTTGTCTGTAAGATTGTGAGTGCCAGTACTGCTTTTCTTTATATTTTTGAATAGCTAAATGACTTTATTCCTCAGTGTGGCCCAAAGAAGATTTCCAAATGTCTCTAAACACAGCCTTCCTTCTATTGGGGAGAGAGTTGAGAGTTAAGTTGAGGCCTGCTCTTTTAGGAAGTCATCTGGACCAAACAGCCCAAGCACTGAATTTGGCTGTACTTGTGTTACATTTCCTGTGTGTTGAGGGTTTGGCTGCCAAGAGATGAATTGTGGATGGAATTTTCTATTCTGGTTTCAGTTTCTGGAAGCAGCTTTTGAGCTGAAGGCAAATCACATATTTAAAAATATGTATGTACACTTAAGGATGATCTGGAAATTATTTCTATTCTTTTTTTAAATACTTCATTCATCGTGGTTGCCTGACCCAGTGCAGTATATTTGGAAGTTGAGAGGAGACACTTTTAACATACTCCTTCATGCAGCTGAGCCAATTGGCTCTCTCCTCATTGGAATCAATGACTAAAGCCAACACCACTGGGTTTCCCACCAAGGACAGAATTCCTAAACTAGAAATGACTTCCATGACTGTCTCCACCCAGCTTGCCTAAGCCATTGACCAGTCTCACAGCATAAAGAAGTGAGTAGTGTCCCTACCCCAACATCTGGAAAAATACCCAAAGGTTGTGACTTAATGACCACTGAGTCAGCAGCAACTTTATCCTTGCCAAGGATAGCACATTGTTCTTTTCTTTTTCAGGTAATCCCTCCACCGGACAGGAAGATCACAGATTTTGTAGTACATTGTAGAAATTTGTGGTAGCAGAGCAAGATTATTTAAACAAAACAAAAAGTATCAGCGAGAGAGAGAGAGAGAGAGAGAGAGAGAGAGAGAGAGAGAGAAAGCCAAGGATAAAAATTAATCATTTTCTGCTTTTAAAATGGCTTTGATTTGCAACCATGGAATGCTCCACTGTTTCTCTTTTCTTCAAAGGCATCTACAAAAAGGATTTCTTAATCTCATTGCAAAAGCCTCCAAGTTGCCAAAATACTTTTCTGTGAAGACTCACAGAGCATATGCACCCCTTGGGTCCACAAAAGTTTCATTAGTCCCTAGATGTTTCCTGATCCTTCAAAAACTAGTTAAATCTAGAGAATCTAGACAAGTATTTACTTTTTTCAGAACCTATTAGACAAAAACTGGAAAGAAAGAAGGCAGGATAAGCAGTGTGACAAGCCTTAGAATAGTAACTAGGAAATGTGAATTGTTTTCTTGTCTAAGCTACGAATTTATCCTGTGCCTGCCAGAAATCACTCCATTTTTTGTGACTGTATGTTTTCCATAAGTGTTAAATCGTTTGGTTTGTAAATTGTTGCAAGAAGCAAGCAAGCAGTGCCATATATTGTAAATTCATTGTGTCAATTTTGCCAAATTTGAATGTATTTTCTTTCTGTGAATTCATAATGAGATAAGGAGTATAAGCCTTGATTCAAAATCTATGTGATGTTGGTATCAACACTTTATGAAAAGTCCTAAAGGTATTTGAAGCCTAGATAGTGAAATGTCACAGTAGGGAGACTTTTAAACTTTAAGACAGTATTTCTGCTCATTAGTACTTGTCCTTGTTTGAAATTTCTCAAATATGTAGTTGTATTATTTTTATTTGACTGTCATAACAGTCTCCAGATTGGTCTAAGGTCCTCCACTTTCTTCACTGTCCATTTCATCTTCATTCTGCTCTCATATATTTTTTTAAAATGGCTTATGCAATGAAACTTAGTTTGGAAATTCAACTCCATTTTGTCACACACGGTGTTAGGCATGGGGCAATTAGATCCTTCCTTCCTTTTTTGTTTTTTGCTCAAAGCACCCAGTCTTCAGTGGCTGCTCACTGCATAAGATAAAATCAAAATTCCTCCGGCCTTTTTAATCTACCCCCATCTGTTCTTCTAGGCACCTTTTCTTTTCATATCCACTTCCTTCCCCTCAAGTTCTTCACACCAGCCACATTGCCATTCTCAAGGTGCCAGAGCACCCCAGGCGGCTTTTCCTTTGTCATTCCTTCATTAATCCATATGAAGTGCACCTCATTCTTGCCCTTGAGTTACCCCAGTTCAAAGGTCACCTTCTTCTCTGTGTCCACACAGGCAGCTAGTCTTCACTTGCACTGAGATCCTATGGAACTGTTTACATTCCTCTATCTAGTTCTCTGTGTCTGTTCCTCCTGCTGTGGCCTTGTTGGGAGCAGGCACACATCTTTCTCCTCTGACTCCCTAATAGCATAACTTAATGAATGCATTGTCTGCCATAAGAAGCGCGCGCTAAGTGTTGGTTGAATAAATGAATAAACTGTTCTGAAGTCCCCTCCAATAATGATGCCCATAAAAACATCAATTTCTTGGAAATATAAATTGATTATATATCTTGTTCCACACAGCAGAGTGAGGAATTAAAAGCTATAATGCTGGAAAGGAAATAATAGAAATAAGAAAGACTGCTGAGTAGGTAGAGAATACATTAAAAGAAGGTCGTCGTCCTGTCAACAATCAATCAAACATCTAGAGGGCTGTTATGTATAGCTCCTTTTCTTTTTTCTTTTGAGTTGGAGTCTCACTCTGTCGCCCAGACTGGAGTGCAGTGGCTGCCCCTGGCCACCACAGCCTCGACCTGCTGGGCTCCAGTGATCCTTCTGCCTCAGCCTTCTAAGTAGCTGGAACTATAGGTGCGTGCTACCACGTTCGGCTAATTTTTTTGATTTATTGTAGAGATGAGGTTTCGCCAAGTTGCCCAGGCGGGTCTCAAACCCGTGGGCTCAGGCAACTCACTCATCTCAGCCTCCCAAAGGCGCGGGATTACAGGCTGAGCCACCGAGCCCGGCTGTATAGCTCCTTTTCTAGGTGCTATCTACTCTTTGGTTTATTTCATAAACTACAATAGGTATAGTGTTCTTTTTATTTTAGGATTAGAACTCTTTTTTAAAAAAATTTTTTTTGGCTGGGCTCGGTGGCTCAGCCTGTAATTCCAGCGCTTTGGGAAACTGAGGTGAATGGATTGCCTGAGCCCACGGGTTCGAGACCCACCCGGGCAACTTGGCGGGATCTCATCTCTACAGTAAATCAAAAATTAGCCAGGCGTGGTAGCGCACACCTGTAGTTTCAACTACTTGGAAGGCTGAGGCGGAAGGATTGCCGGAGACCAGCAGGTAGAGGCTGTGGTGACTGGGAGCGTGCCACTGCACTCCAGTCTGGGCGACGGAGTGAGACTCCAACTCAAAAAAAAAAAATTTTTTTTTTCATTGTTAAACACACATACAAACATGCACATAAACATATGCACACCCACCCCTAGTTTTGTGTGTCTCTCCCAGCTCTGGCTCTGTGCTCTGGTAGAGCATTGGTGCTGTTTTCACTAACGTGTCTCTTCCTATCTGTGCCAATCAGGTGTTCATGTCAAGTGGGTCT